TGTATTGTTCCTACTATGTCTTGTGATATGAGGAAGTAGTCTATCCTTGATGCTGAGATATGTTGACTACGATTCTGTTTGTAATATGTGAACTGTTTCCCTTCTGACTGTTGAAGTCTAAATGGGTCTACCAGATCTCCAGATGTCATAAGGTTATGAATAGGTAAGGCTTCGTCCCACATCACTCCTTTCCCTACCCCTGACCTTCCACCTAGCAGCCTGTCCCTTCTAGGATCTAAAGTAGCATTCCAATCCCCTACCAATATGAGATGTCTTGACGGGTCTATGTTGTTTTGTAACGTATCTATCATCTCCGACCGTTGATGTCCTCCGACAATAGGCTGTAATGAGCGTGAACTGCTCATTCTGATAGGTAAAATTGAGCTTTATCCATCTAACTTCGTCTTCATCTAGAATGACATCCTGTATTATTATTCTATCTGCAGCCTGCAATCTTTTATCGAGTAAAACTACTACTCCCGCTGAATGTGACCTTCCCGCTATTGCCCAAAAGCTTGTCTTAACCCACCTTAGTTGTCTTACTATGCGCTGTTGAATGTTCTGATGCTCTGATGAATCCGTAAGGTGAGTTTCCTGCAGACGTAAGAATTCTGGAGGTGTCTTCCCAAACCAGTTTGAGTACCTCATTACGTTGTCCCACTTGTCTTTGTTTTCCAAAATCTGTACCACACCATTGATGTTCCAAGACATGATCCTAAGGTCCGGCTCCCTATGTTTTGAAGTATCCCCCGTCTTTCTACGTTTATACACTCCCTCTCTCAATCCCGCCTCCATGATCTATGATGTCCTTTTTGAGCCTTTTCGAATTTCCTACTCAGGATCCTACCTGGGTCCAGTCTACTGTTGTAGCCAGGATGTCCATCTTTCCATCGATGTAGTCCGGCTGCCATGCAAACGCATCACTTTCGGTGACTATGGCCGCTCCCCTTGCCACCCATTCTGCCGCCTCTGAACCCCCCAACAGTCCATACAGAATCGTCTCCACCACTTTCCATGACATCCAGATCAATCCCTCAGCCAGTACTGCCTTTTCCTGCAGCTTGATCATGACTGGCCTGTAGTCCACCATGTGTGCTGTACCCGCCGCGTCTTCCCATTCTTCCCTATCATGCTTGAGATCCCCAATGATGTGTGCCTGCGAGGGTAGATCTTTTGTGATACGTTCCTTCAATATATCCTGCTCGCAGTGACTGTCCTTCGCTGTGATTAATGCCAGAGACCTGTGAATGGCCACCTCCCAATCCTCATTGCCGCTGTTCCATCTGTAGGGCAAAATGATTCTCCTACCTGGGTCTTGTCTTGCATACAATTTGGCCACTGCATTGATGTCTGCATGTGGAGTGTAGGCTATTTTCTGAAGGTTTATAGTGTCTGCCTCCAATTCCCTGTTCTGATACCTGAGAACCTCGACTTGTGCCTCCAAAATCGCTGCCTGCCTCTTTTCCTCTTCCATCTTTTCATCCACACCTAACCCCTGAGAGGAATCTGACAAATCCTGGTTACTGCTTCCCAATTGCTCCACTTCTTGCTGTTTGGCCCTTCGTTTCTGTTCAGATCTCTTCAGCCCCTGTGGCTGGTTCCACGTCTTTTATTGTTTTGTCTAAGTCCCACATTTCATTTATACACTTCGAATTCTGCTGTTTTTCTGCTGTGTCGATGAGCTCTTGACGTTCATCAGAGCTGGCATCTGTCCATTAGATTTCACAATCTCCTTCCCCTCTCATTTCTCTTTCTCATCTGAGAAGGTCCCTCCACTCTAAACGAATGCTTTCTAGCATGTCTTCCAGATTTGTTTTCCAGGTTATGCATCCTTTTTTAGCTGCCTTCTTATCTCTGGCACGATTCTCCATCTTGTTTCCAGGTTCTTCCGTAGGCGTCCTATTTTTCAGGAGTGAGCCATCAGTATTTTTTAAGTTGGCTGGGGCCGTGTACTGGCGGTTTAAAGCCCAAGTTTTCTGGTCTGGATGTGGCAAGAGAGAGTTGCCGAATAGGGGCTGCCTGAGGACTTCTTCCCGTGTCTTTGTCTTCCTGATTCTTTACACGAATGCGTCTCTCCGTGTCTTTTCTTGATTAGTGTCATTCATCCAGTGTTTGCTGGGTGGTTGTTTAACTTGTCTAGTAATTAGTTCCCCGCGGCTCATATATATCAGAACCTGGCACGCATGGTTAGTTTGTGAACTCCAGACAACCCCAGAAACTTTTCAGTGAAAAAAACACGCAAGGACTTAGCGCCGACACAACAGTGTACTCAGAATGAACACAGAGCTCTCATACAAACACAAGCCTTACAGTAGAAACACTGACAACATTCCAAGTTCTTTCTTGAACCGGCAAAACTGGTCATTGCTGTGATATCAGGGCTGCTCAGCTGAGTTGGTACTCCTAACGAACTGTTGAAATAGAGACCCAAGTTCGAATCCAGATACAATCAGATGACCAGAATAAAATCACTTTGAAATTTGAATTACCTGGGGGTGGTCAGTTCAATAATGCATGGCTACGCTGGACCCGGACCCGGACATTTCCGGACATGGAACCGGACCCGTGTCCGGTAGTTTCCGGACGTCCGGAATTCCGGACATTTCCGGACCTCCGGACATGGGGGGATCTGGATGGTCCGGAAGTCTGGACAGGTCCGGAAATGTCCGGACCTTAAAAAAAAAAAAAAAAAAAAATCTGAAAGACAAGTATGTTATGCAGAATAACAATGCAAACCACTTTTGCCTCAGAGTCATGTCAGAATTCGTAACCAAACTTGAGTTAAAAGTCAAAAACTATAAAAAGCTTAAAAAAAAACTTTAAAAACATTTAAAAGATAATGAATTTTTAATAATTAAAAAATTGGGGTTGTCTAATAAATTACTATAGAGAGAGAGCATGTCCGGACCCCCAAAAAAAGCATAAACGGGCCTGAAAAACCCCGAAAACAATTTTGGGGGCTTGGCTCCTCAATGGGGAAGGGTCCTGGACCGTTTTTTTTTTTTTTTTTCCTCGAAATTTGCCAGATGCGGACCTTCCAGACCGGACGTCTGGATTCCGGACTGAATCCAGACCGTTCGGACGTCCGGATCGTAGCAATGCAATAATGGTATCTCAAGGCCGTCAACGGTCAACCCTCAAATTTTGTTGTTTTTAAAAGGGAATGAATTCAAAGGAAAAAAAAAGGAAAAAAGGGGCTGCTCAGCTGTCGCCTTGGCATACGAATCAGGCCGTCTCATGGTGTCATGACCTTTTTTCAGAGTCATACGATATTCTTAGCACGGGGAAAAAGAAAAACCATGATTACCACACAAGTGGTTTCCAGCCCCCGCCCACACTTTTCAGCCCCAGGTTAACATCCCCAACCAAAGTCAGTCATTAGTGGATTGGACTGAGCGGAATGGTTGTGGTAGTGCCTATACCATGAGAACGTTTGAGAAGTTGGAAATCTCAAACTAGTAAACTACCGAAAAAAAAAAAGAAGAAGAAGAAAACAAAAAGGAGTAGGACAAGCACTTCCAAACCCACCTTTGGGCTCGGTGAGTAATAAGTATTCCAGGGAGTTCCATCAAATCTATATGACAATTCACAAGTTGGTAAGCACACACAAAACACGATGGAATATACAATGTTGAAATTTCCCTCCCTTGCTTTTTTTTTTTTTTTTTTTTTTTTAACAGAACCTTATGGTTCTGGCTCCTTTTCCATTCTGGTCATTTCCCTCCCTTACTAATAATGTGACAGTTGAAACTTGACAGGTGCTGCAGTCAGTATGCTTCACGGGAACTTGTCCAGAAAAGATCATCTTTTTTTTTTTTTTTTTTTTTTTTGGGAAACAGGCGATGGATGGCCTTGAGATATCATCTTTAAACTGCCCAGCCCCAGGTAAATTCGGAGTTATTGACTCATTTGAGTCGATTGGGATTTGAACTGAGGTCTGTTTCTTAACAGTTCATGGAAGATGGTACCAACTGAGCTATAGGCCCATTGTGTGTGTGTGTGTGTGTACTTTTTTGAGGAAGTCAGCCAGTTGTTTTGATCACATTCCTTCCCGACCCAACAAATAATATCGTTGCCTATAGTCTTTTGCGATTTGTCCGTCATGCTTCATGTGTCTGTCCCATATCTGCTCGTGTATGTGTGACTGTGACATGTCTCGTATCCGCACGCGCATAACTTGTCAGCTCTTCCGGACGAACTGCCTGCATCATATATAGTTGACACAATACTCTAGTGCTATTCACTAACAGCAGGGTGCTAGAAGTTTGCACCTGCCTGGTGGCTGAACAGTACACACACTGCACAGTACTACACACTTCTGCTGTTGATAAACAGATCAAGAGTTCAAACTGCAAACACTGTTGGACACAAATGAGACTAAGGACTACCTACCTGGTTTATGAGCACGACAGAGGAGAGACGGTTAACGGAGGCCTCACGATAGAGGTTTGCATCTGCGCATACAGGAAAGAAAAAGAAGAAAAAAACAGAAGAATGTTGTGGAAAGCCACCAATAGCCTGTGGCTGCATGGGGGGAACGCACACGTATTCAAATCCTGGGGACCTGCGGATGCAGAATGACACACGCTTGTTGTAGCTGTTGATGAACAGGTCAGGAGCTCAAATGGCGATGGATATAGTAGTGCCAGGGGGCATCCCCTTATTTTGAAGCCACTCTTGAAAAAAGCCAAGGAGGACTGAAGAAGAGAGATTGGGAGTGGTGATTTCTGGCAAACTGTAGAAGAAAGCCAACCTTTGCTCGGCACTGTTCGTTTTTTTTTGTGATAGTTTGGAGTCTTTGGACCGTTTCTCGATTTGCATGTGTCATCCCTGCACAGGGGCCACGCTGATTTATCTGTATCATTCCAACTTAACGGATGTTGATGATTAGTTCGTTGATTACCTTTTATCTTACCTTACCTCCCCGACATGTGTGCCTATGGCTGCTAGAGCTCTTGATGTTTTTGTATTTGACAATGATCGTTGATTGATTGGCGCAGGGAGAAGGAGCCGGGTCTACGCTGGACAAACTTGGCCATCACTCCCAGACGCCATTCACGTGGAAGCCTCCGAGCAGCCAACCCAGTTATGGTGAGGGCAGGGATGTGAGGCCAAACAGTGCCATAGGATGGGAGAAGGAGGGCAATGAGATGAGGATTGCCATCCTTGGTTTTTCCAACAGTGAAGCACATCGACATCTGTTGCATGATGTCTCACAGCACCGACACCGGCTCTCTACTCAACTACGGGTAAGTAATGTTGAGAATGGGGGAAAGCTGCTGACTGGCTCCAAGCTCAGGAACAATTTCATGCCTAGTATTTAGTAGTATAACTGTATAACCAATGATTAAGCGAAAAAAAACAAAGTATAACCTATGCATTGGAAGAAGTTGCAAAGGATCTCTGAAAAAAAGAAACATCTTTAGATGGTGGTTCTAGATTGAGAAAGGTGTATGAAGGTCCTTAGATGGTTGTTCTGGACTGAGAAGCGAAGGAGTACAGAAAATTCAAAATTCGGCATATATGGTTCAGCCTCTCCTGATGAGTTGGTGAAACTCCAGCGAAACAGTTTGTCACAGCCCCTCGTTTGTTGTCCTCTTCTCCCTCCCTCTCTGCCTGGGGGTTACCGGGCAGTTCTGTTTGATGATATATGGGACAAAATGTTGAAAAACTAGGAGAAATGTAAACAAGAGTTAAGAGTCTGTTAGAACTAAATTATTATTAAACCAACACTAACCAACGCTAACCTTTTATATAGCTGACCTGGTTACCAGGGGGCCTGCCCGTTGTTCAGATTTATGTGTGCAACTCGTATCGTCAGACAAAATTCACCAGTCCGCGTGAATCGCAGCAAAATCCACCAGTCCGTGTGAATCACAGTGAACTTTCCCATCGAGTATGAAATACGATGAATAGTTCCTACTGCAGGCGCTAGACGGTACATTGGAAAGCACAGCCGCCTCAGTGCAGGGCCACATTTTTCGCTTGGCTGGGACCCAGAGTGGTCATTTCAGCGTTCTTTTTTCTTTTCTTTTTTTTCTTCATAAAATACAGCTGTCTTCTCCTCATATGGGGGCAGTTGTATTTTGCACCTATCCTAGTTTCTTCTCTCTCGCCTCAAATTAACTACCCGTATCTCCTGCAGGATTTGGAGCTTAGGGTCTAAGGCTACTCAGCTACTGCAGAATCTGGAGCTGTGAGTCTAAGGGTACCTTAAAGTTACTAACCAGAACGAAGCTATCCTAAGGTTATGGGTTTAATTTTACGCCTACCTATCTCTGCTCTGTGCGGGGGAGCAGCACCCAAGCTCCTAACACTACGCGCGGGCTGGAAAGGTCACCATCTTCCACAACCAGCCAGGAGGCCCAAGCCAACAATCTCCTAACAGGGCGGCGTTGGGTATAGAACCCTTGACTTCCTGAGTGCCACTTACATGCTCAACCAACTGAGCTACCCCGCTTGGGCTTCAGCGTCCTCTTTTTTTCCAGAAGTTTCAAGATTTTCAGGGTTGCCCAAAAGGGCATATTCAGACTCGGACATTTCTAGGTGTATTTGACTGTTCAGTCAAAAAATCTCGAGTATGAGAATGCCCTAAATACTCTACCAAACACTGAATTCACTCACACGAACTTGACCGGAGAAAAGGAAAGGTGAAAAAGCAGATAAGCAAAACCTAAAAATTGGCATCCAAATTGATCCAATGCCTATTGCAGTGTTTTGGGGGGATAAACCTGCAATGAACCCAGATCGTGAAGACAGTTGTCAACAATGCAAGTCCAAATGAGTGTCAACCAGCTGATGATTATCAATAATCGTATTCGTGTCCAGATACCCAAGAGAAGAGAAGACATACACAGACGACGTAGATGAGAGGGAGGACATACTTAGAGTGGGGAAGATAGAAACAATGCCCACTGCTTCTTCGGGCTCCCTCCGCAATCACCACCTCGATAATCAATAATCTGAACGAGTATCTGAAGTAACCTCAATGTGCCACGTGGCACGTCTAATCAGTCCCTTGTCAATGCTGGAGCAATGTCGACATGAAGACAACCAGGTAAGTATCCACGATCTCTCCACAGTCTCGATCTCCTCCTGAATGACGATAATCAGAACAGCAACACAAATCACATAGCTTCGCCTCGTCAACCAGTAGTACATGTGGCAGCAGCCACGTCAGCGACAGCGCATGGCATCTGCCACGTCAGCATGCCAAGAAGACAGGTGCAAACCAGCCACCATGCCGGACCAGCAGCGCGTCGCCGTAGACACAATGCCAGCACAGAGCCAGCGCTCAGCCAGCTTCGCAGCGTCGAGCCAGAGTCGTCCTCAACGCGTGAAGACAGCATCGACGTAAGACAGAATGAATGTCTAAGCCAGGAAAGTCAGCGCTTATGTAGCGTTGACTCGGGGTCTGGGGCCCGGATGCTACCACCCTCAGCCGTCCAGATTTCGATGCAAACTAAGGCCCAGATTGGTCTGAAACCGAATTCCCTCCGACCTGGATGCTTGCCTGGGTACCTGCGCACAACAAGTGAGTGTTTCCAACCAAGGGCCTGGGTGCGGTACCTTTGACTCTACAGTTGACTTTGACCCTTGAATTTCCTGTGTGCAGCGTTTGGTCACACAGCCAAACGTGACAAACTCAGGCCTGAGCGTGTCTTGGTCACACAGCCCAGCGCAGACCAACTCAGGTCTGCGTTGCCTGGGGCTGAGTTCTGGGCCCCAGGCTACTTCTGAACAGGGTTACTGCAAACCTCTACAGCAGGGTTTAAACTTTAAAACCCTTGTACCACCACTCAGAGGTCACTCTCCACCTGTAGCCTCGTCGATGACTCCTTTGTGTGTAGTGCCACCTCTAGGAGTCCCCACAACCTATACAGAAAAGCTCCCACCGTCTTCGCCTGAATAGAACGTATGGTCATTATGGTGCATCGAGACTGAAAGTCGCACCAAGTGTACCATACGTTCTATTCAGGGGAAGGCAGTAGGTGATGTTAATGGATCCTTCCACCAGGGCCAACAGCGATGGAGAAGCTGACCACCATAGCTAGCAGTGATGGAGAAGCTGAACTACGCCTAGTACGGTCACAGGATGAGCTAACAATGCTGGAGAGAGCAGTGCGGCCAGGCTTGAATCTGTGAGGATGAACGGAGGCAGGCTGTTGTTATCCATCGCCCAAAGTGTTCTGGAAGTTAGAAATGCTTAGCCCTGTAGATGTAGGGAGTCATGGATGGTTGGAGCTCTAGGTCCTTTCTTGAAAAGGTAAGTACCGGTTGCACAATTAGCCTTCTATTTCAAGTAGTGTGGCACCCAGTCCCAAAAGGAAAGTGCATTGCAGCAGATCTTGATCCCGAGGCTCGACCCCATCGGCCAAGGGGTTTGCAATTTTGTGCACATGCCACCATGTAATTTGAGTCTTTTGACATATCAGCGCTACAAAGGAGGTAGGAGGTTAGCTCAACCCTATTAGGTCCTGGGGTGACGGGAAATTGCACTACAAATTTATACGGTTTCATTTGTTTATTAAACTTTATTTAAGTTTATTAACTTTATTTAAGTTTATTAACTTTATTTCAAATTATTTGTTAAATTTGTTTGTCTAATGTTTCTTGGGCTGGAATTGCTAGGAGGAAAGCTCGGGAAACACATTGCAGCAAAAGAAAAGGGAACTCGAATTTGGAGATTGACAGAGGGGTTCAACCGTTCAAGAGATGCTTGCGAACTCTGATCAGCCGATACGTCGTTCCGATAGGATTTTCTCTGTTCAGTGTTTACTGAATTCTAAACCCTCAGATGAACAGCTGCAAATTCCCTGCAATAAGATTCAACTTAGAACTGAAAGGTAATTGCAACACCATCTGTAAAACAATATCCATGTCGGATGTGTGTTTGCTGTCGCAGGTTGTGAGGTTTCCAGGTTTGGGAGTGTATGACGATAGTAGCACAGTCTTGTTCAAATCCTTGAATGAATTCAGGACAGGTAGGGAACACAAAGAGGATAGGTGGTATCACCCTGGTTAGAACCATAGGAAGGTACGCTACTGTCGTTCCCCGAATAGAACTCACGGTCATCATCGCTGTAATATTTAGGCTGAAAGTTGCCCCAAATACAGCTGTAATGACTGTGCAATGCGAGGGTGATAGGACCAGGATACCCAAGACTGGGAGGTTTCCAGTATGGCAACAGAGTTCATGCAGCCGGTGAAGCTGACTTTTCATCAAACCCTGAATACAGAAATCAGGCAAAGGGAAGCATCCAGAAGGAATAATCACAGAGCGCATGGGGAACCCATTGGAGGAGGCACTTCGGTATCCACATTGTGAGGTTTCCAGCTTTAGTAGTGTATGACCTACAAACATAGCTACGATCCGGACAGCCGGACAGGGATCCGGACTGACCGGTGTCCAGCGTCCAGTCCAGGTTTCCGGATCCTGGTCCGGATGGTGGGAAAATGGGGGGTAGCCCAATTTTTTTTCAGGCGGCCCAGGTCGTTTTCTTCCATTTTGGGCCGCTGTGGAAAAATGCTGGGCGGTTTTTTAAGATTTAGATGTGGCATCCAGACAGGGCCGGACGGAGGCCCTAAGTTTTCTTTCCCCCCCCTGCACTCGTTTCAAAGCAAACGAACTGTGCACTATCAGAAGCGCCCGTATCTTCCCAGGATAGGCTGCTTCGTACGTTACTACATTTCCCCCCACGTTGCCCCCCAAAATGAAGAAAGTCTGAAAAAAAAACGAAAACAGATCCTACTTTCAAAAAGAAAACAGCGGAAAAAAAATAAAAATAAATAAAAAACAGCACCTGTCCGAACGGGCGCCTGCAACGACTCTGGGGCTTTGGGCCTGGCTGCACTACTCACCAAGTGCAAAATGAAAATGAATCTT